GCCAGGGCCCCGTGGTTGCTCACGTGTCCTTTCCCCCCCCCCCAGCTGCTCAGAAAGAGGCACATCGGGAACGACATCGTCACCATCATCTTCCAGGAGCCGGGGGCCCTGCCCTTCACCCCCCAGAACATCCGCTCCCACTTCCAGCACGTGTTCGTTATCGTTCGGGCCCAGAACCCCTGCACCGAGAACGTTTGCTACAGGTGAGGGAAGGCCCTGCTGCTTCTGCTTTGGGTTTCTGAAGACAGTGACACACACACACACACACACGCACACCAGTGCTCCCTCTAAGCTGTGGAGTCTCATGAGCAAGAATTCTCCTTTGTGAGCTGCTGGCATTTAAGTTGCGAGCCAGCGATTTGGCTGCTGCGTAAATGAGTTTGCTCTGGAGCCCTCCTTCCCGAGCGGAGACAAAAATGCGTGAGCCGGAGGCTAAAAAACTGTGAGCTAGCTCACACTCACTCAGCTTAGAGGGAACACTGCCCCACATGCGCCCTCCCACCCCATCAGTCTCTCCCAAGAAGCCCGAAGGCATTTTCCCGGTGGCGGCAGCAGCAAAGGGGTCGAAGCAATGCCGTGGTAAACCAGGCCCTTCAGAGCGAGCGGATCTCCAGGAAAAATGTTGTCTGCCTGGGGCCCGAGGGCCGGACCCGGTGTCTGTGCCACCGCTGGGAAAAGCCTGGATAAGTGCAGCCATCCGCGGTGCTCCGGGCAGCGGGGCCACGTGCGACATGGCTGTGTGGGGGAAATCGAACCCTGGGCAGGTCGGGGTGGGCCTTGGTGGCGGGCCTTGGTGGCTTCGCTGTTTGCCCTGTCCTGGGAGGGTCAGCACCAGTGTTCCCTCTAAGAGGAGTGAGTGTGAGCTAGCTCACAGTTTTTTAGCCTCCGGCTCACACATTTTTGTCTCCGCTCGGGAAGGAGGGCTCCAGAGCAAACTCATTTACGCAGCAGCCAAATCGCTGGCTCGAACGAATTGATGCAGGAGCCAAATCACTCGCTCACAACTTTAATGCCAGCAGCTCACAAAGTAGAATTTTTGCTCACGAGACTCCACAGCTTAGAGGGAACATTGGTCAGCACCTTGTCGATTTCTCACACGCACACAGACCCCAGTCCCAAGGATTAGGGCTGGATGATGATCTGTCTGATCACAGCTGAGAAAGAACAAAACTCCTTATGGCGGGGAGGCCAGGTTCAGACCTCGATGAATCTTCTCGGAAATCTGTTCCCACCATTGTGGGGTATCCCTGGTCTTTAGACCGTCCGTGTTTTCAAAACTGTTTTAACACTTTTATGTAAGCCGCCCTGAGCCTGCTTCAGCGGGGAGGTAGAAATCCAATAAACAAATATATTTATTTATTCTGCTTGTTTATTTTATTGAACGCGTGTCCCGCCCTCCCCGCCAGCAGGCTCAGGGCGGGTTCCATCAGTGTTAAGACCATATGCAGTAACAATAATTAAAAAAAAAAAATTTAAAACAACAAGATTAAAACAATAACAATAATCATCAAATCATAAAATACCGGGCAGGATTTAATCAATGACTCAGTAGCTAAAACAGAACGACGGTGTAGTTCCCAGGTGGCTGTTCAAATTCAGGGCACTGATGGGAGGCCAACCGAAGGGGGGGGTGACGCCCGCTCCCTCAGCTCAAAGCCCAGCAGAAGAGCCCCACCTGGCAGGACCTGCGGAATTGTAATGGAGCCCACAGGGCCCTGATCTCATACGGGAGCTCGTTCCACCAGATAGGGGCCAGGGCCAAAAAGAATTGATCTTTAGAACATAAAAACATCAGGAGAGCCCTGCTGGGCCAGACCAGTGAGGGTCCATCTAGTCCAGCATCCCGTCTCACACAGGGGCCAGCCAGTTCCTCTGGAGGGCCAACAACAGGGCAGAGAGGCCGAGGCCTTCCCCTGAGAAGAGCACCAGAAGAGCCCTGCTGGGTCAGACCAGGGAGGGTCCATCCAGTCCAGTCTCCCGTCTCACCCAGGGGCCAGCCAATTCCTCTGGAGGGCCAAGAAACAGGGCAGAGAGGCCGAGGCCTTCCCCTGAGAAGGACACCAGAAGAGCCCTGCTGGGTCAGACCAGGGAGGGTCCCTCTAGTCCAGCCTCCCGTCTCACACAGGGGCCAGCCAGTTCCTCTGGAGGGCCAAGAAACAGGGCAGAGAGGCCGAGGCCTTCATTAGAACATCAGGAGAGCCCTGCTGGATCAGACCAGTGGCCCATCTAGTCCAGCCTCCTGTCTCACACGGGGGCCAACCAGTTCCTCTGGAGGGCCAAGAAACAGGGCAGAGAGGCCGAGGCCTTCCCCTGATGTTGCCTCCTGGTTCTGGGATTCAGAGCTTTAGTGCCTCTGAATGTGGAGGTTCCCCTCAGCCACCATGGCTAGTAGCCACTGATGGACCTCTCTCTCCTCCATGACATGACTTTCAAGGAAGAGAGGAGGTGGTTTCTCATATCTCTGTGAGGCAGGGGGAGCCTTGTAGGATTAGATGAGGGGTGGCCTTCGTTATATCAAGTGTGTTTTATCCCTTTCCTACCTGAAGCGTGGCCGTGACCCGATCCAAAGACGTCCCACCCTTTGGGCCAGCCATCCCAAGCCGAGCCACATTCCGCAAATCGGACGTCTTCCGAGACTTTCTGCTGGCCAAGGTGATCAACGCCGAGAACGCCGCCCACAAGTCAGACAAGTTCCACACCATGGCCACCCGCACGCGCCAGGAGTACTTGAAAGACCTGGCGGAGAACTGTGTCACCAGCACCCCCATCGACTCCACGGGGAAGTTCAACCTGATCTCCCTGGCGTCCAAGAAGAAGGAGAAGACGAAGGCCCGGGCAGGGGCAGAGCAGTACAGCACGGGGGCCATTGCCTGGAGGGTCTGGGCCCAGGACTACACCCAGGGGGTGGAGATCGGGTGCGTCCTGGGCGTCTCCAACGAGTTCGTCGTCCTGTTGGACCTGGCCGCCAAGGAGGTGGTGTTCAACTGCTTTTGCGCGGACGTGATCGGCTGGACGCCGGACTCTTTTGCCATCAAGGTCTTCTACGGTCGCGGGGACCACGTCTTTGTCCGGGCCCTGGAGAGCAACCCAGACGACATCAAGGAGATTGTGCAGAGACTGAAGGTGAGAGGCGGCTCCCTCGCGTCCGCGGTTGCGGTGCCGCCACCGGGTCTCCCTTCTCACATGGGGTCGGTGGGCGGGGCTCCCGAGGGTGGCTCCCGGCCTGGCCGCCAAGCCCTCCTCCTCCTCTTCTCAGGTGATGACTTCCGGCTGCGAGACGGCGGAGATGACCCTGCGGAGGAACGGCCTGGGCCAGCTGGGCTTCCATGTGAAGTTCGACGGGACGGTGGCGGAGGTGGAGGAGTACGGCTTCGCCTGGCAGGCGGGGCTGCGGCAAGGCAGCCGGCTGGTGGAGATCTGCAAGGTGGCCGTTGTCACCCTCAGCCACGACCAGATGATCGACTGGCTGCGCACCTCCGTGACGGTCAAGGTAGTCATCATCCCCCCGCACGAGGACGGCACGCCCCGCAGGTAACCCTCCCCCACCCTCGGGAAATCGTGTCCTGAAGCGGCCGGTGGGGCAGAGTGGGGGCCCGGGCGGGAAACCCGGCTCTGCAAGAGGCCCCCGATCGTGCCAGTGACGTGCCCCTCTGTTCGTTGTGCCCAGGTTCAGAGCCGGGCAGTCATTCTGGGGGGTCACTTGCAATGTTCCCTCTAAAGCTGAGTTAGTGTGAGCCAGCTCACAGTCATGGGAGGGGGGGCCGTGTGCGAGAGGAGGACCTGCAAAGGGGACAGAAGGCCTCTGGACACACAGAGGTGCCCTTCGGGTTACCAGGAGCAGCAAAGCCCCTTCTCCTGGTAGGAAGCCTGTCGGGTGGGAGGGGTGCTGGGCGTGCCTCCCCGAGAGGTCTTTGCAGGGAGGGGAGGGGGCAGAGGAGCTGCCACGTCCAGTCTGGGCTGAGGAGCAGCAGGTTTGGGGGCTGGCCGTGCAGGAAGTGGGGACTCCCTCCCGAGTCTGCTGTTGGGGGGAGGCTTGGCTGGCGGGACTCTTGGCATGGAGCTGAGCACGAGGCTGCTGCCTCCCACAGGCCCCCCCCCCCACCTGCAATGGCGTCACCGACAGTCCTCCCCCTCTTTGGGGACCCTACCAGGTGGCGCTGCTGAGCCTCCAGGCTGCAGGGTGTGGGTTCTGGTGCAAGGGGGACTCCCCCCCTCCCCCGGCCCGCCTGGGCTTCCTGCAGCGCAGCCAGCGGCCCAGCGGAGGAGTGCCAAGAGCTCACCCCTGGGGGGCTCAGGGGCCCAGGTGTTGCTCTGCTGGTGGCCTCCTTGAGCACAGTGCAGGAGGAGAGCCGATGAGGCTCTCTCAAAGGCAGTGAGTTTGTTTGTGTGTTCGTTAGATTTCTAGCCTGCCCTTCCCACCGAGGCCGGCTCACATAAAACTTTTTAGAATAAAGTCAGACAAACGATTCTAAAGTGCTGTACATAGTTATTGCATATCAGACGGCGAGACAACAGTTTCCAAGTATTACCCATAACCGGTGTCAGTCAGTAATGGTAATAGCCAATGGTCGAAATTCCAGGGTAAGGCTCTAGTTTTAAATTGTGTTATATGTGGCTCTCACTCGAATGCCTGGTGGAAGAGCTCTGTCTTGTAGACCCTGTGGAATTTGTTACAATTCCTCAGGACCTGCAAGACGGAGCTCTTCCACCAGATTCCGCAGGGCCCTGGTGTCCTTGGGGGGCTCATTCCACCAGCGTGGAGCTGCCACAGAAAAGGCCCCTAGCCCCGGCGATGGCCAGTCTGGCCTCTTTAGGGCCCAGGGAGAGTTCGAAAGGTCCCGCCGGGTGTCGGTGTGCAGGGGAGAGAGAGGGAGGATACGAGGGCCCTTCTGGAGTGTAGCTGGGGTTGTGTGTGTGTGTGTGTGTGGATTCTTTGAGCCAGCCTCTTCAGAAAGGGAGCAGACCCAGAGATCGAATGAGAGCGGGCAGAGGGGGAGGGCTGGCCTTTCAAACCCCAGCCTCAGCTTGGAATCCGCCTCAGTCCTGCCAGCTGGTGCCCACTCCGTGAGACCAGAAGCGAGGCAAGGCGGATGAGGAGTCTTTTCGAAAGGCCTCCAAAGCATTTCGGGCCCAGGAGGGAGCAAGCTGGGACTGAGGCTCCTGGGAACCAAAGGTCCTTTCTGCCCTGCCCCCCTCCCCAAATAGACAAATCCCACCAGTAGAAAACACCATCAAAGATGGCCAAACAATATATTAAACAATTACAAAGTTGGTGGTGTCAACGACAACAACATTGAATGCATACTGTAACCAATGTTCCCTCTAAGCTGTGGAGTCCTGTGAGCAAAAATTCTACTTTGTGAGCTACCGGCATTAAAGTTGTGAGCAGGTGAATTAGCTACTGAATAACTTAGTTTGCTCTGGAGCCCTCCTTCCTGAGCTAAGACAAAAATGTGTGAGCCGGAGGCTAAAAAACTGTGAGCTAGCTCACACTAACTCAGCTTAGAGGGAACACTGACTGTAACCATAATAAGGCATAAGAGACAATATTTTCTCCTTTGTAGATAAGACATATAAAGTCCACGTAGTCAGTGTAACTTGATAGAAGAAGAAGAGGAGAGATTGGATTTATACCCCGCCCTTCACTACCCAAAGGTGTCTCAGAGCAGCTCACAAGCTCCTTTCCCTCCCCCTCCCCACAACAGACAGACACCCTGTGAAGTTGGTGGGGCTGAGAGAGCTCTGATAGAAACTGCTCTTTTTCAAGAACAGCTCTGAGAGAACTACGGCTTGCCCAAGGTCATCCAGCCAGGTGCAAGTGGAGGAGGAGTGGGGAATCAAACACGGTTCTCCCAGATTGGAGTCCCGCACACTTCACCACTACACCAAACTGGCTCACTCCACATAGTCATAACGTTTTCATAAGAACATAAGAACATAAGAGATGCCAATGTTGGATCAGGCCAAAGGCCCATCCAGTCCAACACTCTGTATCCCACAGTGGCCAGAAATACCAGTGCCATCAGGAGGTCCACCAGTGGGGCCAGGACATTAGAAGCCCTCCCACTGTTGACCCCCCCCAAGCACCAAGATGACAGAGCATCACTTGCCCCAGAGTCCCTATCTATACCTTGTGGCTAATAGCCACTGATGGACCTCTGCTCCATATGCTTATCTAATTCCCTCTTGAAGCCGTCCATGCTTGTAGCCGCCACCACTTCCTGTGGCAGTGAATTCCAAGTGTTAATCACTCTTTGGGTGAAGAAGTACTTCCTCTTATCCGTTCTAACCCGACCGCTCAGCAATTTCATGGAGTGCCCACGGGTTCTTGTATTGTGAGAAAGGGAGAAAAGTACTCCTGTGACACTAGTCTTTTTCCCTCTGGGTTGTTTTTTTAAAATTTATTTACTGCCCCCCCTCCTCCCCGGCTACGTCCTCTAGGAAAGGCAGGTGTGGTTCAGACACGGAGGAGGGAGGCAGGCAGGCAGGCAGAGGAGGCAAGGGCCCCAGGCCTCCGAGGGCGCAGGGCCATCCCTGCCTAATGGCAGCTCCGCCCTGGGCCTCCTGGGTTCCTGCCTGACTGGAGAGTGAGGCGGGGCTTCCCCTTCTCCCCGTCCCTCCCCCACACTGTCAGAGAGCCGTCCAGGGCCATGCCTGGGCTCATGCTGGAGCCGGAGAGAGGGGCGAGAGGTGTCCTTTGACACGGGGAGGTAGGAGGGGTCTTGGCCGCCGGAAGAGAGAGCGTGTGTGTGTGTGTGGAGGGTGACGTCGGCAGTTCAGCACAGGTTGGGGCTGCGGGCCCTGCCGGAGGGCGGCTGCACACGAGGGCTTGTCTCTGCCCGCACGCAGAGTGACTTCATCATTACCGGTGCCGCCTCCGGGTGCCCCAGCTGCAGAGCTGGCTGAGGGAGGGAGGGAGGGAGGGAGCTGCTTCCTGGCTCCCTTCTGCCCACTGGCCGTGAGTCTCGGGGGAGAGCGGCCACGCTGGGACCACTGCTCAGGACCCCTGTGCAGGCGGGGTGTGTGTGTGTGTGCCTGTTCCTCTGGCAGTTCTCCTGCTTGGCTGGAAGTTCTGGTTTGGCGCAGAAGTGGGTGGGTGGAGGCCGATCTGAGCCTGGGTCTCCCAGAGAGCAGCCCAAGAGCGTACCTGGGCTGCACACCGAGAAGCACTGCGCTGGTGCATGTGTCTCTGTCTGTCTGTCTGTGTGTGGGGGGGTGAGATGCATGGGGAGTTTGGCTGGCGCACCAACCCCTGTCTGGTTGCAGCACCTGGAGAGGGTTCGGAGGGAGCCGGGGGGGAGCCACAAAACAGCCGGTGGAGCCTCTTCCTCTCTTTACGTGGGGTACTTTCCCTCTGCCTTTCGCCACTCAGTTGTGGACTCAGACGCCGGGTTGCAGCGCAGGTGTGAGCAGCTCCGTGGCTCCTGTCCGGTCTGCCTCAGGCCTGTGACCCCGGCGCCCCCCGCGGGGGAGGAGAGGCGGACTGGCCCCTAGCTCCGGTTGGCAGCCGGAGAGTCTCACGCGTGGCTTTTCCTCTTCTCCAGGGGCTGGGCCGAGACCTTCAAAGCGAGCACCACGGAGCCCAAGGTGGAGCCAGAGAGCCTGCCGGTGGGCTTCCGGCCCCCCTACCGCAGCCACTCGGCCTGGCAGTGGACTGGGTCGGCCACTCACGGCTCCTCGCAGGCCTCCAAGTGGGGAGAGCAGCCCGCCCCCGGCCACGGCCAGTCACAGTCCCTCACGAGGACCCCGAAACAGAACGCGGCGGCTCCGTACCGAGAGACACAGCCGCTGCACGGCAAGAGGTGAGGCGGGCCGTCGTCGTGCGGCACATCTGCCCCTGCTCCGCGTTGCTTGCCCCCAGGCAGCACCGCCAGCCGCTCAAGCGCCTTCCCGGCAGCTCTGCTTCTCCTGCCCCTCTCCCGAGGGGGGCAGCATCAGCTGAGAACCCCCGCTGAGGGGTGGTGTTCCCCACCCTTCGGGGGCCAGTTGCGGCACTCTCACGCGCCTCTTCCAAATCGGGCCCGGGTTCGCTCTGGGGTCCCACTGGCCCCGGAGAGGCTGTGTGGAGAGGGGGGGCGAGGGCAGGGCCAAGGTCTCCTCCTCTACATCTCCCCCTCCCTTCACTTGACAGGCCGGTGAGCTTCCCGGAGACTCCCCACGCCGCGGCGGCTACACCAGCCGGAGCCGAGCGGGCACAAGCTTACCGGCAGCCCTCTGGCAGCTTTTCCATACCAGCATCTTCTGGAACGGCCTATTCGCGGTACAAGCATTCTCCAGACAGGTGCGCCGAGGGCGGGCGGGAGCCTCCTGCTGCATGGCCCAAGTTGTTTGTGTGTGTGTGGGGGAGCCCACATGGGGTGGGGCTCAGAGTTCCCTCTGAGCAGCGCTCGGGGGTGCTGATGCACAACGTTTTAGGTGGCAGCCTGGGGATTTTAGCTTGAGCTGACGAGTAAACTGAGAAGGCATTTTTTCCTCTCCATTGGAAACATTGGAGGATGGGGGCCCCTCCTTCGGGGGGGGGGTTAGCAGGGGCACCAGTAGAGATGTGAAGGCCCGGAAAAAAAACTGAAAAATTGAGAAAAAAATGGGTTTTTCCCGTTTTTTTCCTGAAGCCTTTTTTGTTTTTTTCCGAAAAATTGGACAAATTGAAAAAAGAAAAGACAAAAAATTGATTATGGAACGTTTTATTTTAACATGATGAATAAAATATTTTAAGACAAGGTGTTCAAATATTTTCCGAATCATTTCTAAAATATATATATATATGGTATCAGATTGATCTAATTTCTGTGTACTGAGGACAAGCAAGTCCTAGGTTACAAACTGAACTCTCCAATGCAAGAACAAAATGCATTTCTTCCTTTAGGAGGT